CGTATACGATGACCCAGAGAATCACCCCTTTATCAGCACTGCTGAGAAGAGATACATTGGGTGTTCACTGGCTCACGAGGTACATTGAAGAATCTCCCCGTCAGTTTCCCTACCCCTGGGCATCTCAGAGAGAGAGCAGGGGCGCTCCTACCTCGCGGTGGAGGGGGTAATCACATGTGTTTTCTTTTAGGATTGCTCGCCAGGCTGGTCTCTTCCCATTAAAGCCATGGTCAAATCTCTCCCACTTTGGGCTATTGTAGTTTCTTACTTTTGCCAATATTGGCTGTTATCCACAATGATGGCATACACACCCACATATATCGGCTCTGTACTTCAAGCAAACCTCAGAGACGTGAGTATAAAGAAGGTGTACCCGGTTACTGTGTTTCTCTGTGTGATCTCACTCATGGCCACGGGATGAGGAATTTAGGCCAGGACCCCTCACAGGAAACACAGCCAGGTAACTTGGATTCACACTGACCTCAGTGTGGTTCACTGCTTACTTGGCTCCAAATCAGGTCACGGTGTCATATTTTTAAAAGTTCTATGCAAAGAATTCTATACTTAATGAAGTCAGCATTTATAAACAAGATTTTTCTATTGGCAGCATAAATTTTTTAAGGATTAATTAATTCTGTTGTAAATAAGATGTTATTAGACTTCTTTTCCTTCCTTCCTCCCTCCCTCTTTCTTTCTTTCTTTCTTTCTTTCTTTCTTTCTTTCTTTCTTTCTTTCTTTCTCTCTTTCTTTCTTTCTTTTCTTGATTTTCCCCCCAGAGATAGGGATTCACTAAGTATCCTAGGTTAGCATGGAATTTACTATGTAGCTGGCCCCCAAATTCAGGTCTTATTTCTACCTCTTCACTGTAGGATTCCAGGCATATACCACCAAGCCTAGCTCAAAATCTTTAAAATAATTATTTCTAAGTGACCTTTATATACGAAGAGAGCGCTTATCATTTTATTAAAATTATCGAAACCAGGTGTGGTAGTGCATGCCTTTAATCCCAGCACTTGGGAGGCAAAAAAAAAGATGTGTGTGAGTTTGAGCCAGCCTGCTCTACATAGTGAATCCTGGAATAGTTATTAGCACTACATAGTGAGACCTTCTGTCAAAAAAAAAAAAAATTTAAGAAGATTGAGTTATGTGCGCATTTCCCCTCCAGAACTACAGTTAATTTACAACTCTAGTAACAAAGAATTTCATTTGCCCTGGAAGTGATGTGTGTAAAATGCAAAGCCACAGACCCGGGCCATCTCTTCAGGATCAGTCGGGGCCACAGTGGGGAATGCTGCGGCTGCTTGTACTTACTATCTCCAATTTCCAGAGCGGAATCTTGTCGGCCCTGCCGTTCGTGTTCGGCTGTGTCTTCATTATCCTGGGGGGACTACTGGCAGATTTTCTCCTCTCCAGGAAAATCCTCCGACTCGTGACTATCAGGAAGCTCTTCACTGCAATAGGTAAGGGCCAAGGTGGATGCTCGGCGAATGCGAGAGCTCTGGAGCCTCTTTTTTTATGGCTTTTGTTCTGCTGCAGGGGTCCTTGTCTCATCTGGGATCCTCGTGCCCCTGCCGTGGGTCAGCTCTAGCCGCAGCACCACAATGGCCTTCTTGGTTCTGTCGTCGGTCTTCTGCAGCCTCTGTGATTCAGGGGCCCTCATAAACTTCTTAGATATTGCTCCAAGGTAGGGACCCTTTTGCCTCATCCTCATAGAAGCTCAGTTCAAGTCCAGGAACCCTAGCTACCCTTGCTCTGAGACAAAGGTAAAAGATAGTGTATGTATCAGGTCACAGGGACAGTAATATCAGCGCTACGTCTCTGCAGTTCCTGGAAGGGACTATGGGCTAGTCGGGCATTGTGAATGCCACCTTTCCTAGCTGAAACAAGAGCAGTCTGTGGCCATGCGGACACTTCCCCTGTAAGTCTCTGCTGAAGAATGCAGCAGGGCCATTGGATTGGTTACTGAAAGTTCTCAAGAGATCCCATCATGGAGGTCCATGTGAAGCTTAAATAAAGGGGGAATGGGGTTGAGAGAAATGGCTCAGTTGGTAAATACTTGCCAGGCAAGCATGTGGACTCGAGTTCCATCCCCAGAACTCACGCTGCAAAAAATTAAAATGAAACAAAGAAAAATAAAACAAGGCAGGTATGTGCACTTGCAATCCCAGTGCTGGGAAGCTGGCAAGAGGTACGGATCCCTGTGGCTTGCTTGCAGCTGGCCTAGCCTACTGAGCAATTTCTATGCTAATGAGAGACAAATGAGAGACAATATTCTGAAAGAAACATGGACAACTGAAGAATGATACCCAGGGTCATCTTCTGTCCTCTACTTGTAGCACACATATGTACATGCATACCGGCACACATGTGAACACATATACACCCACAAAAATAAAGGGGCAAGACATAGAACCAAAGGAAAGAATCATTATCTCTGGTGTGAGTCATGCTAGAGAGAACTGAGACCAGACATAAAGCTCCTGGGGTCTAATCCGGGCAACAGGAAATGTTTCATCTTTACACAATGGGCCCCTGAGACACGTAGGAGAAAGGCTGGTCAGAGAACAGCCATGTCATCCCACGAAGGTCTTGGACACAGAAGGAGGAGGCATTTTATCCCGAAACAGGGCTACGACATTGGCCTCAATAGCAAGAGCCAAGAAGTTGACACGTTAGCATAGACTACCCCTGAAAGGCTGAGCCTGTAGCATAGGAGTATAAGGATCATTAGTTAGCATACGGTGTTCAAGTTTATTATGCACCACCCTAAACCTCCCCAGAGATAAGCATAGAGACAGGACAGCGAACGCAAACCTTTGCTTACCTGAGACTTCCCCCTTCCCAGGTATGCTGGCTTTCTCAAAGGACTACTGCAAATCTTTTCGTATATAGCGGGAGCCGTAGCTCCTACCGCTGCTGGATTTTTTATTGGTCAGGTAAGATTAAACATTGTCAGAAATATCAGTAAGAGAAACTGAATAGCGGTAGTTAGTAGAAGTCGGTCTAAGGTGCTGGTAGTTCCTCAGTGAGGAAGAACTCAAAGCACATGCGTCTGGAGCCCTTAATAAGCCCTTCATTCCCAGCTCAGCTTCTGAAGGGAAACTCCATATTCTGTGGGTATGGTGTGTGTGAGAATGCTCAGGGCCGAGGGCTATGGTTTGTGAATTCTTACAGGATGAGCCTCTCATGTTAAAGTTCTACATCCAGTAATATTAATATTCATAGTGTTTCTCCTATAGTATTGTATAATCATTCAGCGTAGTTTGCCTCAAACTGAGTGCTCTCAGGATTTTGGGGAGGTTTTCAGTGTTAACATCTTGAATGCTCTGGGAAACCCAGGATGAGGTGGTTTTCTGTCTAAGGAAGCTAACAAGTCTTTGGAAATGGATGAACAAGATGTTTAATGAATGGCAGAGGGGAAAGCTCCCTGCACCTCACACCTGTGCTCCTGAGTGTTCATTAAATGCCTTGCTTGTCAGTCCGAGCAGAAGCACCCAGGACCAGTGCTGCTGGGATGCTGGTTTTCATTCTGAAGCCTCTATCCCAGAGTTGTGCTGAAGGAGCCTGCTTGTTTGTTTCCCAGCTGCCCGGCAGCTCAGACCAGAAATAATCACACAGAAACCATATTATTTAAATCACTGCTTGGGCCATTAGCTCCAGCTTCTTATCGGCTAACTCTTACATATAAATTTAACCCATCTCCATTAATCTGGGTATCACCACATGGCTGTGGCTTCTGGCATCTGTCTCTAGTGGGGCTAAATGGCTTCTCTCCTGACTCCTCCTTCTCTCTCCCAGCATTCAGTTTAGTTTCCCCCCGTCTACCTCTATTCCCTGCATAGGCCCAAGACAGTTTTCTTTATTCAGGAATGGTAGTTACAGCATACAGAGGGGAATGCCACATCAGAGTTGCATTCTTACATCGTTAAAATAAGCATAGCAATGCTGTGCGTGCTTGTAATTCCAGCACTTGGGAGTCCAGTTTGGCCTACATTGTCAGACCCTGTTTTACAAACAAATCCCTAAAAGAAGAAAAAAGTAAGAATAAATATATAATTAAACCTGATAACTTGAACATTACCTAAGAATTATATAGACATACCTTTCACATGGAAAAGGATGTCTGTGAGATTTATGAAAATCTCACTTCTAAGCTTCCCGTGACTTTCTATTAATAGCTCAGAAAAAGACAGGAGATTAGCAAAGAATGGATTTTTTATCAAGTCCCCTTTTGCCTCGAAGCTTTCTAGTCTCTGAAAACACACTATTAGGGATTGGTTAAAATGAAAATTCTCATATAGACCTTGTTTCTCTTGCCACTTGACTGACTGATTAGTTCATTCATTTAGTCATTCATTCATTGATTCAAAAAACTATTAAATGTTAGTGTGTATTATGTCCATGGTTTTAACAAACAAGCACACAAAAGTGTCCTAACCCTGTCCCATTAAATCTACAATGAAAAACAATTGACAGAAAACTGAAGTAAATTATAGACAGATTGGTGGTAAGTGCTGAGAGAAGCGGAGAGTAGGAAACAAGACCAATTTATCAATATGGCCAAAGACAGAATCTTTGAAAAGGTGACTTTAAGCAAGTACTGGAAAAAAGTGAGGGAGTGAGTCAAAAGAGTGCCTGATGGGAAATGCTTTCTAGCTAAGGGAAGAGGGGACTGATGGCCTAATGTTAGACACGCAGCAGTATATTCCAGGAGCAAGATATGCTCGTGGAGGTTGGGTTGAGTTAGGAGAAGGAGCATCAAGGCATAGCACCCCAACTTTTCTGAACCAGGGGTACAAGAAGTAGGCCACCATTGCTAACAAGTAGTTTCCTGCCTCCAGGATCCAGAGCTTGGCTGGAGAAATGTCTTCTTACTGGCAGCTGCTATTGATGTTGTAGGCCTGCTCTTCTACCTTGTCTTCGGCCAAGCAGAGGTACAGGACTGGGCTAAGGAGCAGACCCATCTCTGAGAAGAGTGAGCAATGTGTGATATCATGATACTTCCCTTCAAAGACCTGCTTTTGTACCTACTTGGCTGCTAAAGACATCTAACCAAAAGGGCTTTGTTTCAGGGTCATCTCAGAGATCCTGGCTAGATGATACTAAAGGCATGTCCCCCCACAATTAGAGGTCTCGCAAGGGAAGGGAATGGTTGGTTGTTTATAACTGTAACTGTATGATCCTGGAAGCACAGATGTGTCCAATTTTCTATGAAACTTCTATACTTTTGCACCAAAACTGAAGAGGAAATCAGAAGTACAGGAGTGATGAGTTGAAACCATGGAAGAGTGGTACCATGAACTCTGTAAGCTGCCAGCAATAGAGACTTGATAACCTGGACAACAGAACATCTACAGGGGCAGGAGGCCAAAGTGGACAGTGGCTCTCATGTTAAGTGAGAGGGTTAAAGAGCCATTGTGAGTCTTGGTGTGTGCAGAGTGTCTAAGAAAATCAAAATAAAGAACAAGGAAGAGTGAATCTATTGTGTAAAAATTAATCAACTTTCTTCAACTAATACAAGAGGGGTAGTAGAATTCGACCATTCTAGACAGTTTCCTGTCTGTGGATCTTGGCTTTGGATCCAAACTACTTCTAGAACATAAACACCACTCAGGCACTCTCTGGATCAACTCTTCTACAGATTCCTTCTTTTTGACCACTCTGACCTGGACCTTTCATTGGGATGTGGATCTGTGCAAATCTCTTATGTCTTAGTCTTAGGGAGTAGACACAGGCTTGTGTGACTCTGATCTCCTCATGTACTGCTTGGTAGCATCAGTCTACAGTGACTGCTCCTTGCCTGCTTCTCTGATTCTTGTGGTTCCAGCCACTGTTCAATGGGTCTCATTCAGTGTAAAATGCCTTCTAAAAATGTTGGTAAGACCCATGCTTTCTCCGGCTCATTTCTAATGTTTAGAGAGCGTGTATGGTGTTGTATGGTGTTTCTTTGCGCTAAGAATCCACATGGACTACAAAAGAGAACATAAACATTTGAACACTAAATGAATGTTAATGAACACATTAGTGTGTATGGAGACATGACAGGCATCACAGTCAGGCACAGCTTGAAATCACTCACTACCACAGGGGGATAGATGGCTTTAATGACAGTATCACAAGCGAGTGTGCAGTGACAGCTGTGGACTATGTAAGAAAGAGGGGCACATCTTACTAGAATATGTAAGTGCCATGCACTTATTTAAGAGTGAGTGGTGGCCACCACCATTACACAGCATCCGTTGAGCTGGTGTTTGAAGATCACCTGATGTAGGAGGCTGATGGAACGAATGTTCTAGGAAAGACCCTCGAGGAAGATCCACAGCATTTGCAAAGGCTTGCTGGCAAGAGAGAAAGAGCAGGCATGAATAGAGCAGAATTGACTGGGAAATGATTGAATGGGACCATCAAAGAGGAAACTGATTTTCTAAAATATTTTCTTTCAAATTGGGCTATCCTAAAAGAATATAAATAATTTAAGTTGTTTTTTTTTCAAATGGCTCACATATTTACAACGAAGAGGAATGAATGTTGAAAATTGAAAACAAAATGAACAAAAACAAACCCAAACCAAGAGGCCTTTCATGAAGCTGTAGAGTAAAATTTCATCTTATGTTTGTTTATTGAATCATAGAGGAGGACAGATAAATCAATCCACCTTTAAACTTGGACACGTAACTTGTCGCATACAATACGCAGTGCAGAAGAAGTACACAGACTAAAGCGGGTGAGACTGGCCTCCCAGGATCCTCACGCCACCCCCTCCTGGGATTGGTGGCTCCTAGGGATGGGAGTCTCACACAGTTCCTCTTTTTTTTTTTTTTTTTTCTAATAGGGACTCTGACCTCGTGCTTCGTAAGCGCTCAGTTTTCTATTAACTTTTGTAGGAACAGGAAAACAAAACACACAGAGATGTCACTGGAGAGTTGTCACGCAGAGAGTGTGCCAGCACCTCAAAGAAATTAGTGTAGACCAGGAGACTTTTCTCAAGTCGTCCTTCTTGTCCGGTGACAGGTTATCCATGCCATTTTCGCATGTCTCCCCTACGGACATAAAAATAAATAAATCTAACTGCCAGGTGCCACCTTGCCTCCTTCCTCTGCCCTACCCTATGCGAAAATATCTGAGTAGCTGCTGCATTTTGCTAGGCCCAATCTCGGTGCTTGAAGATACTCATTGCTGTGTGTTGAGGCTGCATCCTGAAAACAAACAAGCAAATCAAAAGCCACTGTGCCATAGAGCTGGCACTCCTGTAGGTATATTAATGCCCTCAAGACAGCACATTACAAGTGTAGTAATAATAGGTACATTTTCTGTGTCCCCACATTTCATCTTTTAATACAGTGATTTGTTATTAAGAGAATGAAAATAAAACCTTTCCTGGGGGCCCTACACCAAGCACGCACTCCAGCTTCCGGGTCCCTGCACTCACGCACCATCTGCCTTTTCTAAGAACCCTTCCCGACACCCATAGAGGCTGCTGTCTGACAGTCTGGGGTGTTCTGACTGTTAATAGGCATCTGGACCAACTCCTCTGTACTCATACATCCTGTCTAGAACCTGGAAAAAATCACGGCCAAGATGCTAACCTAGAGGGTCCAGCCAGGGTCCTAACTGGAGCAACAATGAAGAAGGCACACATTATTCTGCTTTGTTTTGTTTTTGTGAATGGATTTTTCCTGTTTAATTGGCTTGATTTTGTAGACAGGGTTTCACTGTGTAACCCTAGCTGACCCAGAACTCAATGTATAGACAGTCTGGCCTCAAATTCACAGAGATCTGCCTGCCTTTGCCTCGTGAATATTAAGATTAAAGGTGTGTGTCATTATGTCCAACCCTGTTCTAGTCTTCTTTAAACTGATTTTTACCTATTTTTAGCTTAAACTTTTCAGTGCATGTATTCGATGTATATGGCACATAAGAACAGCTGCATATAGCTGGATAATGTGCATTGAGTACGTTCCTCCCATGCCCATGCCTAATGCCTGTCTTCCCTTTGCTTCTTCCTCCTCTCATCCCCAGTTTGTCCCCATTGTTTCCCTAGATGGTTTTGCTTTGATTTCCATGTCCTATATATAACGTTACATATCTGTATGCTTTTTATGCCTGCCTCTCTCTCTCTCTCTCTCTCTCTCTCTCTCTCTCTCTCTCTCTCTCTCTGTGTGTGTGTATTTGAAGCTTTGCATGTCAATAATGCATTGCCTTATACGTGGCTATCAGTGCCTTGTCAGCTGGACAGAACATTCATTTGCTGCAGGTGTCCCCATGTATTCTGTTCAGAGAGGGGACCCACTGCAGGTATTTGAATACCTCTCAATAACATTGGCACTTCCTTGAGTCCACAAATTCATCTAAGAAGTTCACTTCCGTCCTCTTAATGTGAGGTGGCCTATTTGTGGCAGTATGGTTCCCAGAAATTCCCTGAGAGTCCTTATATTATATGGCAAGTTGTAATGTTACAAGGGTGTCTTCAGGGCAGTGGGGGAACACATAGCAGATCTATAACCCCAAAGTGAAGCCTAGGAGAGTTGAGGTGGAGAAAGGCTTTGCAACAATTTAAAAATGCCTGTTTTTACCTGAAGGTTAGAACAATGTAAATATGCCTATTCTTAATTTTGGTCATTGTGGCACATGTATGTAACTCAATCACTCAGAAATGGAGGTGGAAAAATCATGAACCTCAAGCCAGCTTAGGCTGTATAGAAAGTCCAAGGCTAGTCTAAGCTATACTTATTGAGGTTTCGAATTAATGTACACACACACCACACACTCCACAGAAAACAAAAACACTCCTTAATCTAAACCAAAAAAAAAAACCACTAAATAAGAGATGTTATCTCTTGACCCTTGCATTCAATTTTATACTAAGGGTTCTAAGCAAAGCAATTAGAGAAAAAAATGAAGATTATTCAGATAGGAAACAGAAGTAAAATTACTTACATTTCTAGATAACAAAATTATTTATATAGAAATCAGACAGTATCCACTAAAAACTAGTAAGATATGCTTAATGAAACTGTAGGGCATTACAAAAGTTAACTGCATTCCTATTGTATTTAACACAAAAATTAAACTGAGAAGACAATTCCATTTAAAATAGAATTTAAGAACCAAGCACACTGATATACATTTGTAACGTCAGGGCCTGAGAGTGGGGGTTATAAGTTCTGGGCTAGTCTCTTTGGGCTCCACAGTGAGTTCCAAGCCCATCTAATATCACCACACGCTGGTTCTAGCTCTTACCCAGGAGTTCGTGGGTAACACACTCAGATACTATGAAAGTGCACTAGCATCAACAACAGAAAGGACCAATGAGCAGTGACTCATACATAACATCAGCTTACAGGCAACTGCATCCCCCTCCAAAACAAACAGCCAAGAGCAACAACGAAACCCTATCTGGTGCCATGTTTCTCTCTACTCCTTTTCGGGAGGAATATCTGTCTGTTCTGACTGCTTCTATTTCCTCACATCGTATTTTCTCTCTCTTTTCTTTTCCACAGATACAATAGACAACAGAAAACTGCAGAAAGCAAATAGTTGGCTTAGTGGTTTGCAAGCACCAGGGCTTGAGTTTGAACCCCTGAATCCATGTAAAAATTTATAGCGTCGGGGCACATACTTGTAACTTGAGCACTAGGGAAGCAGAAACAGGAAGATCGCTGGGCCTGATTGGCCAGCCAGGAGACTCAATTGTCTGCCTGACAATAAGAGACTGTCTCAAAAGAGCTGAACCCTAAGAAAAACATACATAGATCCACCTGGAAAGGGGAAATAGACAGGATCGCCTGACACGATTGGGAGCATGGGGGTAGAGAGAGTAGGGGAAGGGAAGGGGAAGGCGAGGGGAGAAGGGGAAAGGGGAGGATAACTTGGGGGAACAGTATAGTAGGGATGGAGGAAGGACAGAGATGAGAGCAAGGAAAGAGATGTTTTGATTGAGGGAGCCATTATGGGGCTAGCAAGAAACCTGGCACTAGAGACATTTCCAAGAATCCATAAGCATGACCCCGGCTAAGACCCTCAAGCAATAGAGGACAGGGTGCCCAAACTGGCCTTGCCCTGTAGTCAGACTGATTTATATCTTATACATCACCTTAGAACCTTCATCCAGCAACTGATGGAAACAGAGGCAGAGACCTGAATCAGAGCACTGGACTGAGCTCCTGAAGTCTAGTAGAAGACTGGGAGGAGTGGGAATATGAGCAAAGAGGTCAAGACCATAATGGGGACATCCACTAAAACAGCTTACCTGAGCTAATGGGAGCTCACCAACTCCAGCCAGACAGGGAAGGAACCAGCATAGGTACAAACTAGGCCCTCTGAATGTGCGTGGCACCAGGATTTATCTCTACTGCTTGTACTGGCTTTTTTTGGATTCTCTAGATGGATGCCTTGCCCAGCCTAGGTACAGTAGGGAGGGCCTTGAACCTTCGCCAAAGCAAGGTGCCTTACCCTCTCTGAGCAGTGGATGGGAGGTGGGGTGGGGGGGGGGAAGGTGGAGGGAATGGGAGTAGGGAAGGGAGTGGAAACTGAGATTGATATGTAAAATAAAACAAGATAGTTTGCTTTCTTTTAAAATAAAATAAAGTAGAAGGGAAGAGAAAGAAAGAAAGAAAGAAAGAAAGAAAGAAAGAAAGAAAGAAAGAAAGAAAGAAAGAAAGAAAGGCGGGCAGCGTCAGCATAAGGATAGCATTGTAGCATTGAAGCTGTCTTTAGCTGACACACGCACACACACCACACCACACACACCACACCACACACACCACACCACACCACACCACACCACACCACACCACACCACACATGCACATTAGCCCAGTAACATGTGCACTCTCTTCCCTCATGCCTAAAAAGAGGGGCTCACAGTCTTCTTTTGTCTCTCCTAACAGCTGTTGGCATTTATCACAACAGGGTGTCTTGATTCAATGGGGCTTGAAAATAGGGCTGTTTCGCAACTGCCAATTCTAATCCAGGTTTATCCACTACCCACAGTTTAGATGAAACTTTCACAAATTACCAGATTCTCTTTGAGCGCACCTTAACTGGCCTCCTGTCTCCATTATTATTTGAGTTGTTTCTGCCAGGATCATCCCTTTGACAGCTGTGCCTAACCCAGCGGTAAGTTTTAGAGCCTATCTAAAGATGTTAAGTCCTGGACGGCGCTTTCCAGAGGTATCAGTTTCTTCGCCTCAACACTCCATGTTTTCTAACCATTATTCTACTTTCCTGAGGGCAGGTCCTCATCTCTTTTGCGTTTCTCTTAACTGTTCAATTCCGAGAAACTCAATTTCCCAGATTTGCTATAGCAACTCTGATATCTCCCCCAGAACAGTGTAGCGCCGGGTGGGGCAGTTATCAGCCATACTGTTTCAGATTTGGCATGCTTCCCCTCCCCCAGCCCACTCAGCTCTCCATCTTGGCGACTCAGCAGCAGCAGCTCTCTTGCCTGCATCTTCAATTTCAGAATTTAATCTAGTAATGTCTCACCTTCACAGTCGTGTGTTTTTTGTTTCTTTAGCCCAGTCCTGAATTTCTCCTTTAGCAAACACATTGTAGAAAGTTATGCACGTCACATTAATGCCTGACATCAAGAAGAAGATTTTATGCCATGCGTTTTCTGGATCCTGAGGGATTGAAATACAAATAACTGTGAGTGGCCGAGCTTGATTTTGCATCCGACAACATTTAGAATACAGCATTAAAATAGTATGTAAACGCAACACAGGTCATTAAGCATTCAAAACACTCATAAATGACACTCTACACCAGTAACTACTTTTAATTACATATATATAAATTTATAAATTTCTGTTTTCACCAGCTATTAATACAACATTAATATGACAGTTTCTTTTTTTTAATGGGGGGGATTTAATTATTTATTTATTTCAGTTTTTTGAGACAAGTTTTCTCTATGTAGCCCTGACTGACCTGGATCTCACTCTGTTGACCAGACTGGTCTCAGACTCAGAGATCCACCTGCCTCTACCTTCTGAGTAGTGGGAGCAAAGGGGTGCTCCACCACTGCCAGGCAATATACCAGTATCTTGTAAATAATGCACCTTTTTGGCATGGTTTATTATTTTGAAACTTCCTGCTCTTTCAAGACACCTTATGCAGATAACTGTGTATTGTATCAGATAGTCACGTATGGATAGGCATATAGGGAAAGTGTGTTTTCAAATGCAGTTGGCCGATTTACCCATTTCTATGCACTACCGCTATTATTTTTAGCCATCCTATGTACAGTGATTATTATTTTGCTATGATCACATGATTTCACATTTCCCATGGCAAGGTTCTGACACAATTAAGAGAAATGGACACATGTTAGCTGAATAAAAACATTATCATTTCCCACAAAAATAATTTAAACTTTTATTTGGGATTGTATTTAACCAACAGAGCATATAACAGCTTTTCAAGTCTTTTAATACAAAAATGGTGTATCTTGCCGTTTATGAGAATGTTTTAATTCTGTAAAAACTATCTCCTGTTTTCTCCACAGAAATGTCAATTACTTATTAAATATATTCTTAGATATTTTATTTTAGGGCTATAAATGATATACTAAAATTATCTCTGTGCTATTTATTCAGATATTTAGAAAATACTTCATACGGACATTGGTTTATATAATTTATATATTTGTACTCTATTAGCAGCCACGCCAAACTGCTAATTGTCATACTTTAGCTGTAGCCTTCTGGTTGTCTTTGAATGCCACCTACTTAACTCTTTCTCCTTTCATGTTCATCTTTCATATTTTCGCTAGAATACAGCACAAAGCTAGTAAGATCATCGCCTCCTTTCCTTGCTCACAGTGTCAAAAGAAAACCATCTCACAGTGCACCGAGATGCTGTTTGCTGTGGGGTGTAAGTCAGTGTTTCTCTTCCCTCACACTGAGGAGAAGGCAGACAAGATTCCTTCCTGGGTAGAGACAGCACTGCAAAGTTCTAAAACCCACATTCCCGCGTGCCTTCCGAAAGTTAGTAGAAAAGTTTGCCGACAATAATTGGAAATCAGTTCATGATAGTCAAGAGACGCAGCGGAAAAGCAGGGTGTGGCTGGCTCTTAAGGCTCACAAAGAGAACTAATCCGAGTTGCCTTGAGTTTCCCCTCTTTAGTGAGGCCAGTGCTCCTCCTGGGGAGTTTCTGCGGTGCTGTTTGTGGCTTCTGCCTTTATGACACCTTAAGTATGTACAGCAGGATTTGGGGAAGCTCTTTGATGGGAAATGTGGCCACAATATATGCTGACCACCTCACCCTGCCCCTTGCTGTGTGGCGGGTGGGAGAAATTTCCAACACAACTAATCCACCCAGGAGCTTGCCCTCCAAACAAACCAGTTGAGGAGCTAATGAAATTGACAGGGGGTGGGTTTGGACCCTTTTGTATTCTATGCTGTAGAAGGTGCTTTAGTCCTTCTGCAGGTAGACAGGCATCCGCACATGCATGTTATCCATAGCTTAGACCACACACAGTACTAGCAGCTGGCTGTTCTGAGTTAATGTTCCAGCCCGGGTGGAGGAACAAGGGTTGATATAGTCAGACACTAGTTGGACTCAGCATTTCAGGAAGGAACTGGTCTCAGGCTCCTGGAGAATGAGGGGAAAGTGCAAGGCACAATACATAGACATCATAAGTCTCCAAAATGTCCTGATCATCTGACCAGTAGGGCAAGACAGACCTCTAGAATGATTAACGGCTTCCCTTTAAGCCAGCTGGCTACAGCTTTTCCTAGGATATTAACCCACCACCTTCTCAACTCACTGAATCAAACGTTCCGGATAGTACTATGAAGAGATGCAATTCCTGCCTCTGCTCACAGCTTTTGCGGTGGCAGGGAGCGTGACCCTGAGCAGTGCTCATGCAGATGAGGGTGCAGCCCTTTCTTGCTACACATGCCCATCCTGGCTTTGCTTTTTCAGGTAAATGTGTGTCTGTTGATCCACAGCAGCTAGTGGCCCTGTGGTCATTCACCTCCTTGAAATCAAATTTTCTGAATCTCTAAAATGTTCTTTTATTTGCTTTTATCAAGAAGAAGCACGGGTTTCCACACTGGTGTTGTCTGTGTGTGTCACAGGCTGTGTGCATGAGAGAACATGCGTGTGCCCCAGCATGGAAGTGGAGCTCAGAGGACACGTTTGTGAGTTGCTTCTCTCTTCCCACCTTTATGTGGCTTCCGGGTTTTGAACAAGGTTGATAGGCTTTTACAGTAAGTGCTGTACCCCTGAGCCGTCTCACCAACCTGAAACACATTATTTTTTTTTTTTTTTTAAGTAACTTTAAATTGGCGGAGTCTTTCAACTGTGTCCACCAAAAGGATTTTAAGGAATTCTGGGACAACTGCCGTTGTAGTGCCTCAGTAGAAGCTACAGCGTCCTCCAACCTTCAGCCCCATGTCTTCCTGTCTTTAACTTCCTTCCTGACAAAGTTCCTTTTGGTGCTTCCACCAGCCTTGCTCAGCCAAATCCTCTTTCAACAGCTACCGTTTTCTGTTAAAACCAGAGACCCATTTCCTTTCAAATAGCCGAAGTACTACCAGCTGACACACAGTGAGAAAGAATATATTGTGTGTAGAAGTGTAGACTCAGAAGACCACCTGCTGTTGTGGTCTTCTCCAAGGTGTGTGTGTGTGTGTGTGTGTGTGTGTGTGTGTGTGTGTGTGTGGACTTTCTTTATACAATTAATAGCAAAACCAAAACCCAAAACTACAACTGAGCTTATCTGCATGCTACTTACCTGGTTAAGGATCAAGCCAGCTACAGCTGAAGAAATTAGGCCTCCAATCATTCCAATTAGAGCTGAAACTGCTTTAATAAATCCATAATAGCTGTACAAAAAGGAAAGAGAACAAGGGTGGAAAGTGGTACAAATGCTTCAGGCAAAGCTACCCCAATCCAGTGAGGCTCAGAGCGGGGACGGCTGATGCTATGAACACCCATTTCAACGGCTTACGTTCAAACGGCGGAAAGCAGGCACGCACGATAGCAAGTTCTCACTGTCCTACACTGTCAGAAAGGGTTACCTTTAGCAGTAAGGAATCTATGATATTATGAAAATGATCAATGTTTAGAGTGAAACTCAGCAGTATTTTTTTTATAGTAACAGAAAACGGACTAACACAAATTCCAAAGCAGTGGTCATAATTTAAAAACCAAATATTTGAAAACAAATCTCAGTGGCAGTAAAATAAGTCTAAGCTGTCATGAATTAACATCTGAACTTGCACCTAATAGCAAGAATAATGAGGTAGACAATCTGGGATGGCATTCGCTGTGTGCCAAAGCACTACTGTGCACATTTTACCTATGCTAAATTATTCCGGACTCTTTTACTTTATTATTTCATTTTCTCTGTGTGTGTGTGTCAGAGACAGTCTCTCTCTTTAGCCAAGTGGCCTCAATCTAGTCCTTCTCCTTCTTCTACCTCCTGAATGCTGGGTTATAAAAATGTATATAGAGAGTACGTATGACCATACCAAAAAGAATGGTGTTTTAAAATCATTACTTAATAACAAATTAAGAAAAATACAATAATCCATTTTAAAAGAACTAGAAAAAATGTAATTAAAAATAAATTTAACCAAGGAGTGGACTGACGTGCACTCTAAATCGATAGGACATTGATGAACTGAAGACACGCCATGTTTATGGATCAGAAGAAAGAAAATCAGCAAAATGTTCGTTTCTTAAAGTGGTTTAAACAGTCTATTCTTGCCTTGTGAAATCCAAATGATACTTTTCACAGAAATAGAAAAGAAATGGTTAAAATATCTATGGCTTCACAAAGGTGGACAAAGGTGTTCCAAGGACAAAGAACAAAGGAGGGGGTCTCACACCACCTGTCCTCAAAATAGACCTCAAAGGTATGGCAGCCAATAGGAAAGGAAAAAGGACAATAAATAATATTGGAACCAGACAGAAATCTTTAATAAATAAATAAATTAAAAAAAATAATATTGGAACCAATTATATCTACTTACAGAAGAGAACAGAATCGTGCCTTTCTTTCGGACAATATATAGTATATTGACTCAAAAGGAACTAAAGACTTGGAACTATAAATCCTTGAGAAAGACACACTGTGGGAACCTCCAGAACTTCAGTTTGGATGACATTTTTTTTTATATGACTAATAAAAAAATCTCAAGCAACAAAAGCAAAAGGAGAAGAATGGAATGACTTCAAGCTACAAACTTTCTGCAGTCAGGGAAACAGCCAGTGGGGTAAAGAAGCAACCTACGCAATGGGGAAATGTAAAGCACACATTCGCTAGGGGTTAGTGTCAGAAATACATCAGAAGCACAGCTCACCATCCACATAGAGGAACGCGACTCAAAGAACCCAGATAGAAACTTTTCAAAAAAGGCCTAAATGGTCAACGAATACATAAGGAAAATTTTCAACATCACCAATCATCAGTGAAATGCAGATTCAGAACTTGTTGCCTTCCATATTAGGATGGCTGTGATGAAAAGGATGAGAGAGGGGTTGGCGAGAGGCAGAAACCTGAGCTAGTGCGGCAGCCACTGTAGGAAACAGAATGAAGGCGCCTCACCGTATGTCCCAGCGCTCCGGCTGCTGGACATGTATTAGACAGAGACCGAGTCAGCGCATCAGACATCTGCAATGGCTTGTTTATGGCCACATCATCCACTCAGGTAAGACACAAAAAATACCAGCGTCCGCCAGCACTAAATGGATAAAGACTGTGTGGTCTACACAACAGAAAGCTATTGCCTTTAGAAGAAGGAAAGTCCATCTTTGTTTAACAACGTGCATGAACGTGGAGGATATAATGCTGAGCGAAATAAGCAGGTCACAGACAGGTCACACACATGATATCGTGTACGTGTAGAATATAAAAAGTTGAATTCATTGATGTAGAGGATAGAAAGGGTGTTATCAGAGTCTAGGGGTGAAGCGAGACATTTAGGAAGACACTGGCTGAAAGATGCGACATTTCAATGAGAAGGAATAAGTTCAAACAGCACAGTGCCTGCCATTAATAGCAAACTAGGATAGATGTTAAGTACTTTCATTACAAAAATAAGGAACTGTGGGCTGGAGAGATGGCTCAGCGGTTAAGAGCACTGACTGTGCTTCCAGAGGTCCTGAGTTCAATTCCCAGCAACCACATGGTGGCTCACAACCATCTGTAATGAAATCTGGTGCCCTCTTCTGGCCTGCAGCTATACATGCAGACAGAACACTGTATACATAATAAATAAATAAATCTTTAAAAAAAATAAGGAACTGTATGAGTAATGTTACTTAACTCCATTTAATCATCCGGCAATGCGCCCATTTCAAAACATCGTCCTGTACACAAGAAATGCATGTCATTTTATTTATTAATGCAAAAGTAAGTGAATGCTAAGAGAGCCCCACCTGGGAGCAATATCCAAGGCATTGATGTGCTGTCCACAGAAGGAAAAACTGAGTGTCGAGTTGGCGAGTGTCAGGAAGATGATGGTGCTGTAGAAGCTGGAGCTCAGGTAGAGCAGGCACATGATGAAGATCACAGGAGAGAGAATCCCTGCAGAATGATCCAAACCGTACAGTTAGGTGCTTCTGAACACAGGGCTGAAGGACTCCCCCACGTGCTCGTCTGTCCTGGCTCTTCCTTACCTAGCGTAGAGAAGAGTTTCCGCACATTAGCTACGCTGAAAATCTTCCGGGACAGGAGGAAGTCTGCCAGCTGACCTGCTACGATGCCACAGATGTAAGCAAGCAGATAGGAGAGACTGGACAGCAGCCCGTTCTGAGGAGCAAACAGGAATCCTGAGTGCACCTGGTGGAGACGCAGTGCCCTGCAGCCAGTGCGTTCACCGGATTGCAGTAACTAATGTGTACTTTAGACTTGGAGATGTGACTCAGTGGTTGAGTTCTTGTCTGCCATGCCAAAGGTGCTGGGTTCAATCCCCAGTCCCATCTAATTAATGCATGAATTAAATGTGTGCTTTGATCCAGGAAACTATCCAGTACCAGAACTGTGTCTGGGAACACAAGGTCCAAGGAAAGCAAAACATAGTTTTGAGATTAGTCAGAATTGTCACCATCCTTTATAGATTTTTGTTTTTAGTATCATGGGACCAGGAAAATTGCAAGAGAAGACTACTGAGAACAGGAAGTGTCAGCCCTGAGGGAAATAATAGAGGCTAGAGATGATAATTGATGACAGACAATTGCATGTTTGCTCTAACTGGCCAGGGTTAACTCTAGGAATGACTCCATGGTTTCTTTAAGTTGAATCGGTGAAAGCTTGTATGACCATGGCACTATGCTGGCCACTACCCAGAGGCAATAAGTACATTACACAACGTTCCAAAGTTGGGAGCCCATACTCCATTTCTAAGGGACTCTTTCTGGGTTACCTTGATACCAAATGATAGGAAGTTCCAAACATAACTGGCATCCAATGTCAGATAAGCAATTGGGAATCCTTTAAGAGTAACACCTAAAGCCCAGGAATTGTGGTTCTATCCCAAGACAATGGGTTAACAAGAGCTGGACACAGTGGCAGAGTAATTTTTACATTAGGACTCCATTTCCTGAAGAGAATGGTATGTCAAGCTATTTTCATTTTTTAGAGATTAAAAAAAAAAGTCTCACACTGTGGCTCAGGTTAGGCTCAAAGTTAGAGCAATCTTCCTGCTTCAGGTCTGTAAGCACTTAGAGGATAGGCAGGCATTCACCACAATACTAGCTTGTAACAAGTCTCAAGTAACAGAATAAGACATATATTGGGGACCCTGGGGGTCTGTGTGGAAAAGTGGCTGCATGTGTGTTGATGGAAGGATTTCAGACGCTGTGTGTATACCAACACCCTTTGTCTGGACAGAGTTCACATGTAGAAAACCATGCATCTCCAGGTAAAGTCCACTAGCCAGTGTAGGAGGCAGGCAAAGACTGAGTCTATGGTCATAAGACACAGAGAGAGAGAAGTGGGGAGGAGTCCCTTATGAGTTAAAGATGAGAACAGGTGGTACACTTACCTCTCTGATGTTGACATGAAGCACAGTGTTGATAAATGTTGGAGTGTATGTAACCAGGAGGCTGTTGGACCATATGAAAGCAAAGGTATTGATGATAATAGCCCAGAGCGGAAGAGACTTAAGCATAGCTTTGATTGGCAGAGATTGTCTGCGCGAGCTGACCTGGGAAAGAAATCAAGAATCATTCCAAATAAGGATCATCTGGAATGTGTTGTGTTTGGCGCAGAATGTAGAAGCTGCCCAAAAGGAGCTCAGTGTTCTACCTGCTGGGGAAGAGAGGATGTGATGTAGGCCTTCTCCCTGCTGCTCATATACGGGTGGTCCTTGGGGTCATCATAGAACAGAAGGAACCAGCAAAGACTCAGGATACAGCCAAAAATACCTACCAGAGAATCACATGTTACAAGGAAGTTCTAGCTGGAGTTTTGGATCAAGTACATTTTAGAGCATTGGCCTGAGAATCTAAGTGGTCTCTTTCTTCTCTGAAACCCTGGGAGGCTCAGACTTTGATGGTCTTTGTAACCACAGCTGGCCCTTGCTGTGGTGTGCATGTTACTGATATGCTCCTGTTGGTGAATCCTTTGTTCTGGCCTGATCCAATGAGTCCGTCTACTCCCTTAGGATTCCCTAATGTCGGGCCTTTATATTTTCAGATTGGTAATGGCTCCCTAACTCAAGAGCATGCCATTCTGAGCTTGCACAGAGCTAGACAGCCACACAACCACTGCTGCAAGGGTAGATGTGTTTGCCTATTCTGACTCAGCCTTTGGCACACTATGGGAATTAGGCACTTTCTGTAACCTTCTGACACTGATTTAACCATAGATGGATTGAATAAATATCAACAGGCCTTCTGCCCCTGTACTTTCCTTTTGAATTTGGACAATAGAAAGCCTGGGAAGGCTTCTTCTTCTTCTGGAAACACCAAGTGATGGATGATGCCAGTGAAGTGAGAGGGCCCAGAGGACCTGGGGGCCCAGTATTAGGGGCCAGGCAGTGGTCTTAGGGGCCTCAGGGCTCGTGGAGGTAAAGCTGAAGACAAGGAGCACATCCCCGTCACCAAGCGGGACCGCCTGGTTAAGGAGATGAAAATCAAGTCCCTAGAGGAGATCTACCTGTTCTCCCTGCCCATTAAATTGTTAAGTTATAATAGATGTAGATTTTTGTGTTTATTCTTAAACTTTGATCCTTACTGAGATTTTGTAAAAAGAGACTCACCGAAAATGTAGAAAACCATGGGCCAACCTAGAAGATCACAGATGAATCCACTCACAAGAAGGACAATAAATGGTCCCATTACAAATCCTGATCAAAGGGCACAGAAGACATCCCTGTTAGCTTAACAAAGGCACCTGAAAATCCCGCCAATAAACCTCTATGTTGTAATGAACAATCGCCACGGAAGAAGTTTGTTTCCAGTGCTCAGGAGGAACGGAGAACGTCTTTTCTCTTCTCTCTTTTTCTGTTGTTTGAGGTAAGGACACTGCTTTTTCATTCTGAAATAGTGTGGTGTGTGTGTGTGTGTGTGTGTGTGTGTGTGTGTGTCCATGTACATTCATTTGGATGCCAGAGGTTGAAGTCCAGGGTTTTCTTCTCCTACTCTCTGTTCTGAGACAAGTTCTTTCAAGGTCTTTCAATGAACTCAGACCTCACTGTTTCAGCAGGGCTGGCTGGCCAGTGAGCTTTTGGCCTACATCTATCTGTCTCTGCGCCAACTGTGCTGGGGTGATAAATGTGTGATCTCATGTCTGCTACTTTACATGGGTGCCAGGGTCCTCACACTCGTGTGGGAAGCACTTTATCCACTGAGCCATCTTCTCTCTCCTAATCAAAGCAAGAATATTGCAGGGATGTTTCTAAAGCCCCTAGCAACTCAAAGCACCAGTTTTGAAATGGCTCTCGGAAAGACCATGACACAAGGCGATGAAATGGGACTCAACCATGCTTGGCTTAAGTACTTACCTGATAAAGTCATGGAGGTAAGCCGGCCTCGTTCCAAGGGAGGTGCCCATTTGACCCATATTTCATGTTGGCCTGTTGACACTATCCCCTGAAATGAAAAGATGAGGGTTTTGAACTCTAATACTCTGAATCCGAGCTCTATGTCTGTTTGAATCATGTCTTAATACCTGGGCTACTCCCTGGAGTACTCGACACACAATGACCAAAGCTGCTCCAGCTTGGGCTGCTGGTGGGATAAGCATGGATAGCACAGAGCTGAGGAGCATTGAAAACCCAAGTATTCTCTTCATTGGATATAGTCCAGATAGGTACCCAACAGGAATCTGAACCACGACCATACCAAACAAGACAGAACTGAGGATAAGCCCTTGAATATCAAGACTCCAGGAATACACAGGGTTCTAAAAGGAAAAAAAAAAAAAAAAGAGGAAACACGTCTGAGGACTCTGCATTGGAGATAAAATCTGGTGTTTATGGGTTCCAGGAGTGTGGTCGCCCTGCTCAGTCTGTTTAAAGTAGTCCTTCCTCTTCCTAAAGTTTGCTTTTATCTCAAAACAACTTTGTTATCTTATCATGTCATTTTGCATATGTATTTATATTTTATCATTGATATTTTCAATTATAGATTAAGTGTCTCTTATCTGAGATGCTAGGACCAGAAAAATTTCAAATTCTTTTGGATACTGGAGATGCTGGCAGAAGCCACGAAACAACCGATTACATTGCACCCATAGTTAGGAAGAGAAAGAGATAAATGCTGAAGCCCAGCCTGTTTTCTCTTTTTATCCATACCAAAAGGCCAGTCCACTGAATGCTGTCATCTACACTTAGTGTGAGTTTCCCCACCTCAGTTAACACAATCTAGAAACCCCCTCACAGACGTGAGGTGTGTCCTAGTTGACTCTCGATCCCTGCCTAGTTCTAGTTAGAGTTAACCATATCTTTCATTTCCCTTGGTAAGGTACATTTTTTTTTTTTGCCCCCATTTCTTTCCAAAAGCTCTTACTCGAAAGAAGTTCTAGTTCTTGGGTTTTGTTACCCCTTAACCTGAAATCATACAACAAACCCTTCTAAAATGTCGAATTATTCTTTTTACTTATTAAAAGGTTTGTTTATGTGTTTAGGTGTTTTATCTGCATGTATGTCTGCACACCAGAGGAGGGCACTGGATCCCATAGGATTACAGTTATAGGCTGTCATGAGCTGTTAAGTTTGTGCTGGGAATTGAACTCAGGACCCCTGGAACAATAGTCAGTGCTCTTAACAGCTGAGCCATCTCTCCAGCCTTTGAGCTATTCTTTAATCACAGACTATGCCTATTCTTGCTCATAGTTAAAACTTGAGCTTTATGATTATTCTTATCATTATCCTGTCAATAATATACGTCCTCTGTCGAAACTAGCTACCAAGATAAAGTTTTCAACTTATACTTCATACTTCCCATATACCTTTCCATCATCCAGTCTCTCCACGGCAGATCCATTGGGTAAATGGGGTGGCTCTGTTCTGTTCACCATGGCGACCATGGTGAGGTTCAGGCACACTCGCTGAGCCATGATGACAATGTTACAGAAGTGCAAAACGACAGCCAACCCATAGCGAAAGGAGCAGAACCCTGGAACTGGGAAGTAGAAAAGAACATCTCAATTTGTAACACAGTTCAGAGAAAAAAATGCAGGCATTTGGAACTTTGATATCCTAGACAGTAAGTTAAAATTTTACTGTAAAAACATCCTTCTAGAAATTGCCATATAAAAGGAAGATGTGGGATTTATATAATAATCCCTATTACCTTAAGACGTCATTCCAGTTAGAATGTCCCGGAATGTTAATCCAGTTTGCAAATGCTTTGGTGAGTGTCTATTTTAAAGAAACCATGTACAAATACCTTGGGTTTTCTTTGGAAGTAGGACCCCTTAATATTATCAGCCATATTTTATCTCAAAGAAATTGCTTTGATCCTCAAACTGATATGACTACTCTGGTTAAGAAACTCACATTTTTACATTGTGAATTTTTTTTCTGAAGAGAATAAATTTACTGAGAAAGTATCAAGCTATAGTAAAGAATGTAGTATTGGTATAAAACCAAGCACGCTCATCAGTGGAGGAAATCAGGAATTACAGAAATACATGTACATCCAGGACTAAGTAATGCGTGTGTGTGTGTGTGCACATGTGTGTGTATGTGTGTGCACGCACACGTATGCTGCATGTCGGTATACATGCTCATATTGGGGAAAGTGGTTGCACATTTATGGAGTCCAGAGGTCAATGCTGCGTGTCTCCCTCTATTGTTCTCCACCTTATCTATCTTAGTTTTAGAGGAAGCATCTCTCATGAAACTCTGGATCACTCTGGTTAGGCTAGATGGTCTGGCTATCAAACCACAGGACTCCTCCTGTATCTGTCTCCCTCCTACCAGGATGACAGACACACATCACCACACCTAGCTTTTTATATGGGTGCTGGGGATCTGAAGTCAGATAACTGTACTAGTGTTGCAAAGGCTTTCTTGACTGATCCATCGCCCCAGGCTAAAGAACTAGTCACCAAAGCTGTCTACCATAGGAATCTATTGTTATGGAGTTCCCTAACAGTCAAAGATAATCGGCATGGTCTCTTCTATATCCAAAACCAGCAGTGAAAAGCCCCACCATGCTGAATCCATCTTACATCTGTCTGACTGCTCCATCTTTGTCCTCTAAACGTAGATTTAAAGGCTTGTGTGATTCAATCACGTTCCCTTGATAATTTTCCTGTTTAACTGGGAAATTATTTGTGTGTATCAGGGTTAGGATGTCCTAGGGGTGATTTTAGAATTCTGCCTACTCATCCTCCTGAATATTAACCTTCATCAGGTGATGAAAGGAGACAGAGACAGAGACCCACATTGGAGCACCGGACTGAAATCTCAAGGTCCAAATCAGGAGCAGAAGGAGAGAGAGCACGAGCAAGGAACTCAGGACCGTGAGGGGTGCACCCACACACTGAGACAATGGGGATGTTCTATCGGGAACTCACCAAGGCCAGCTGGCCTGGTTCTGAAAAAGCCTGGGTTAAAACCGGTCTCGCTGAACATAGCGGACAATGAGGACTACTGAGAACTCAAGAACAATGGCAATGGGTTTTTGATCCTACTGCACGTATTGGCTTTGTGGGAGCCTAGGCAGTTTGGATGCTCACCTTACTAGGCCTGGATGGAGGTGGGTGGTCCTTGGACTTCCCACAGGGCAGAGAACCCTGATTGCTCTTTGGGCTGTCGAGGGAGGGGGACTTGATTGGGGGAGGGGGAGGGAAAGGGGAGGCGGCGGTGGGGAAGAGACAGAAATCTTTAATAAATAAATAAAAGAATTCTGCCTACTGTGGTCCACCATCTGACTTCTAAACATTTATGTTCATCACACATGCAAAACATAGCCAACCATCTCCATTTTATTGTAATGTTACCTTGAACCTCATCAAAAAGTCATGACTTCAAATTGCAAAATCTCACCATGTAAATCAGTCCCCGATGACCCTTATAGAAGCAATGCAACTAGGGTACAATATTTATCTGTGGACTTGCTGAAGAGGCAAATATAAGTTCTTACTACTCCCAACATGGGATGGGTACGCACAAAACTACAAACATTAAAATTCTAAAAGAGAAAAAAGTCACGAATCCACAATGGGTTTGAAATCCATCTGAACAAACACTGTGTTTTAAAAGATGAATTTTTATCCTAGTTATAAAATAAAGTGGTATAGAGTATGATAATCCAATATATGTATTGTGATTGTCAATTTCACCATATTGAGACACTACTAGAAAAGTGGTAACTTATATTTCTGGGTTTGTTGTGAGAATGTATCCAGAAAGGGTTGGAATCTGGGTCTCTATTCAGATGAGTATTTTTTTTCCAGTAAGTCCATAGTGAATGCTACCTCTCATGTAGGCCAATCAACATAATGTCATGTTGATTAATGTTAAATCGACCCTTGCGATACCTTGCAAAAGAGGAAAATCAAAATCCCTGAGAACTAACTTACAACACCGGGTTAGAAGATTGACAGTTATGCATGGGCACAGCATTCACCAAACCCCACATATCCATGGCTGTTGCTCAATGCTCAATCTGCCAGCAACAGAGACCAACATTGAAGCAGTTATGTGGATGACCAGTTATGAAGCTGATAGCAGATAGATTTTATTAGATAATTTCCTGCATGGATAGGTCATTGTTTTATATTTACTAGGGAGACAGTTATTCTGGATATGAATTTATCCTTCCTCTATGCAATGTTTTTCTAGAAATAACTTTATCTGAATTTGAAAAATGTCCTATTCCCCGACATGGTGTTCTATACAACGGGCGCTCACTTCACATCCAGAGATGTGTGTTCATAGATTTATTGGTCTTACCTCACTTGTGGTTGAATGGCTTTTATGAGGACACAGTTACAGCATTAACTTGGTGGCAGTACTCTGCCGGACGGGAACAGTATTCTACTAGAGGCTGTGTATGCTTGAATCAGCATTCAACACATGATGCTGTTTTCCCGTAGCTATAATTCATGAATCCAGGAACCACGGGGAGAGATAGAAACCATCACCCCTAGGGATGTGGCAGCAAACGTTTCACTTCCTATTTTCAGGAGCTACTGCTCTGCTGGCCTCTACCTATTGCTGCCACGGGGAGAAATTCAGACACTGGTGGCAAAGCAAGGACTCCATTGGGCTAGAAGACAGGGCTTCTCCCCTGGGGGACTTTGGGGTCCTCAGTCTCTGAGGTGATGAGCTATGAATGGAGTTAAAGCGTTCATGGGTGATAAATCTGATCTTCCAACAGGGAAATATGGTTTCTATTCTGTAGCTTGAGAAGGAAGAGTATGGCAAACAGGCACGGTCTTCTAGAGTCTCTCCTAGTGTTTCCCAGACTAGTGTTTAAGGTCAGTGAGACTCATTCACAACCCTGTGCAAGCAGAACTACAAATGGCCCAGGCCTTCGGGACTCAAGCTGCAGATGCCACACTAGGTAAAGAACCATAGTCCATTGAGGTGCTTTATGAAGTCAAAGGCTGTAGGGAATGGTAGTTATCAACATCAACCATGACATCGGCCATATATATAAATACTAACTATGGCATGTGATGAGTCCCAGGAAAAACAATGGCGATTATCATATTATTATGCCCTATTTTGTTAAGTATATATTTGTGTCTATACATGCATGCATCAATCAAATTTATTTTCTTTCTCTTACTTTGTTTTTACCCTTTAATATAGGACTTGCGGATGCTATACAAATATTTAAGCACTGTTAGTTGCATCATAGTTATGGGATGTCAGAAGAGCATTAAGAATCATATGAAAACTTTGTTGCCTTTTCTGAATATTTCCGAATTAATGCTTCCATTGACCAGTTCTCTCCCTCGCCGTCAGTGATGCTGTGTTTAAGAAGGTGGACCCTGTACCACAGGACAACACTACCTTTCTTGGCAAGACACTGGTTCTCCATTTGATGCTTCTCTTCTTGTTTGTGGGTTTGGTCTCCATGCACTGTGGATTCAAAGCACACTGGTCAGCATATGAAAGGAAGCAACTGACCAAGCCCTCGGGAATCCTGTCTGACTGAAAGCCAGGGTCAAAGGATGACTAATCCAGTCACACCAGTGCCCTTTCACCCCCACGGAGGAGTTTAGTTAATATTCCACTTTTGTGGGGTTTTTTTGTTGTTCACTTAAAATTTATTGAAAATCTGTTAACTAGCAACCCTGTCAATTTAGTTTTTCTTAATTCAATGAAAAAATAAAAACTTTATTATAGAAACAAAAACTGTGGACATTTGCTGCCAGTAGGCTTGCCCTGCAAGGCAGACTGTCAGAAGGTCAGCGGGCAGGAAAAGAACACAGTGCAATTAAAGCTGAATTTAGAGAAGGACTAAATACAAACATAACTCATCTTCTGCTGTTTTTGGTTTTGCTTCTTCTTCTTCTTTTTTTTTTTTTTGTTAGTTTGTTTGGAAACAGGGTTTCTCTATGTAACAGTCCTGACTGGCCTGGAACTTGTTTTGTAAACTAGGCTAGCCTCAAACACACAGAGATCCACCCACAGCTGCTTTCCAGGTGGTGGGATTAAAGATGTGCTCAGCTTATTTTGTGTACGTTAAGAGAGGTGATGCATGACTGTCTTCTTAGTAATGCTACACTCTCTGGAGATAGAGCGCCCTCCATAGCCCCATGTAAACCTGTCTGTACCCGCAGTTTCTCTGGAAACAGAGCTACCACAGCCAAGCTTCTGCCAGGCAGACGCGGGTGGGAGGGTAATGAGTTAGGATTCAATTCTCACATATGCTGTGAGCTTAGGACTTTGAGATCTGACTTCATCAGTTCACAGGACTCGCACACGTCCCCAGGACACCTAGGATTTATGTATTTGGAGCATTTTAGAGTGCGTAGAACGTCAACCACAAGTATCACACACTGGATCCTCTTTTGAACTGCTCTATGCAACAAACGCCCAACACAGTACAGAGATACTACACATATTCACACACACGTAGAGGAACACTACATGCTTACTATTCATGGAACACAGTACACAGATACAACATACATACCACACCAACCTAAACAGAGAGAAACACCGCACACATACTATGCATACGACCCAGCGCACAAATGCCTTACACACTCATATGACACACAGAGGAAAACATTACACACATAAACAATACACATATGCTACACATTTATGCAAACTCTATACGCATACTATATATACAATATAGTATGCAAATATTACACACAGAAACACTATGCAAACAAATAATATACACATAGTACACATAGAAAGAACTACTACACAAACACTAGAAATGTGACACACGTAAGATACATACAGCACAATACATGGATACCACTATGTACACACAGAAGCACTAAATACATACCGCACACAGACAGAAAAGCACACACATATTGCACTGCAATACAATGCACAGATATAATAGACAAACAATTATACTCCATATACCACATATAACCACACTGCACACAAACTATATGCACATGGATATGTTACATACATATCACATAAACACTATACACAAACCCAGTACACACATACTGTATGCGCAAAAACATTACACACTACTATACACACAGAAACCACATGGAAATGCACCCCTCACACACATATACATACAACACACACGAATAGTACAAACCCTCCTCACACATAGTACAAACACCACCACCCACAAACCTCTAGCCTGTAATGATAAGTGTGCACAATTTGCACACACCACCTACCGGACACACTTGCAGTCCAGTGTACCACACTTACCCTTCCCTCCACCACTGCCTTGCTACAACAATCACGGACAGCTCGCCCCCACAGTCCACACCTTCTCTTTCCTCGTGTCTCTGTGAGCAATGCCCACTTCACATTCTTTCTTAAAAATATGTTCTTTTTCCCCCTTGTAAAAAGCCTCTAAAGATAAGCAAATTCTTCTAACAAATTTCCTCACATTGGGAAATTCTCTGCCAGGGAAGGACCGCTAAAGCCTTCTGGAGAATTAAAAGTTTATTTCAGTTGGCACATAATAAAAATCACACTGACCTGATTAAGACAGAACAGCCCTTCCTCCTCCCTGGAAGACTTTCCACTCAGCTTTAGAGGTGAATTTTTCTACCTGCTGGTAAATCCTATATCGAATTCTTGGCCTCATCATGTTAAGGGTAATGTTTAATTTTTAACTTTTCTTTTATCCTAACCTTGCATCTTCCAAGGAGAAGCATGAGTCTTGAGATCATCCACTGGACTAGAACTTTCTGGGAATTAATCAGCAATTTCAGGATTTAATAAACAGATCCCATAGTCTCCAACCTACCCAGGGGGGAGCATGCCTTCCAAAAGTGTTCAGAAGATGTCTCAATCGAGGAGGACTTTGGAATTCCATGGATTGTACCAGAAGGATGTTTTATTAACTTTATTATCTTTTCTCCCCCCCCCCCGCCTTCTTACTTCCCTCCTCTTTTTGCTCTTTCCTTCTCTTCCCCTTCTACCGCTACTCACATTCTCCCCCTTCCCCTCCCCTCCCTCCCTCTCTCCCTCCTTCTCTTTCCTTTCCCCCTTCTCAGCACCTTATCTCTTTCCCCTCCTCTCTCCCTCCTTCCTTCTTCCACACTCCTCAGAGGTCCTACCTGTCTGACATTTGACATGCTCAGAAAGCTGTGCATTTCCTTATGTCCTGCCTCTCAAAGCTGTGACTTGTTCTCTGGCTTCTCCTGGTGTTCAGCTCCTGGCTCTTCTGAAACATTTGGGCTGAAACTCTTTGAACATAATATGCTGATCAGTTAGGGACATCTAAGCCCTGATTCAGAAATTTTTCACTGTTGATAATTTGTTAACATACTTAAACATTTTAATTTTTATTATATTCTTTTCAATGTCCATCAATATTTTAGATGTAGCAGCTGCTCCATGACTTAAACCCAATTTCTCCCCCTAAATAACTGTGAGGCCAAATGTGGTGTGAGCCTGTGAACTCTGTACTTGAGGCAGAGGCAAGAGGATCATGAGTTCGAAGCCAGTCTGGGCTACCTAACAAGTGACAGACAAGCCCTACATGCACAATGAGACCCTGTATATCAGAAAGGGGAAGAGAAGGGAGAGAAGGAAGGGAAGGGAAGGGAGGGGAAAGTCAAATGTTGAAAACGCTTTGCCCTGGAGCCTTGTCTTGGGCTTATGATTCTAGGAGGTATTGATGCTCTGTGTGACCCACCAAATCTGTCCTCTCTGCTTGATACTACATCCTGCAATTTCTGGTACCGTCCAGAAAAAGGGACTTTTTAATGATTGAAAGCTCCAAGTTAGCAGTTGTTCAATGTCCACATTTTGAATAAACAGCACTCCCACATGGCATCAATCCCCACGTTCTAGGTACAGATTACATAAGAAGGAGCTGGCTTTCTGTTTGCTGCTTCCACTTTCCATTGCATCGTGAGGCTCTGACACCACTGAGCTCCATGTTTAACTTATTAATTTTTTACTTTCCCAGTTTATCATGGAAATTTTCAAACCCAGAAAAGAAATAGAACAGTCCGATGTAACCATGGACATATCAACTAGCTTCTAGCATTTGAATTTCTCTGTCCAATAGTTGTTTCTGTAGTATTCTAAAGCAACTATCAGATATCATGCAATTTCTTCTTACAAAAACAAAATGAAACAAAAAAACAAATAAAAAGAAAGAAACCTCAGCAAAGAAACTTAACTCATCAGAAAAATTTACAACATAGATAACAAGCCACCAGCACTAGTAAATAAACAAAATCCTTTAAATTTCCTCAGTTTCTTCAGAACTATCCCCTTTATATTTGACTGATTTTTGTCTGTTTTTGAAATGGGGTCTCATGCAGTCCAGACTGGCATAGAAGTCATGCTGTAGTCAAGGATGGACTGGAATTCCCAGTCCTCCTGCCTCTATTGACCAAGTGCAGGGATTTCAGACATGTGCCCCTGTCAGCGTAGCTGGGCTCTGTGAATGGTGGCCAACACTCTACAGCCCCACTCAGAAGGTCATTTTTTTTTAAAAAATTAAATTGTGTGTATGTGTGCGCATGCACGCACCAGTGTATATAAGTATGGGTACTCTCAGAGTCCAGAGAAGGTATAAAATCCCTTGGAGCTAGAGTTACTGGTGATTGTGAGCTTCTTGACATTGGTACTGGAAACTGAACTTGAGTTCTCTAGAAGAGCAGAAAGCAGTCTTTATCCCCAAACCATCTTTCCAGCTCCTGGGTGGCGTTATTTCTTGATCGTCACTTGAGAACTTGCTACCTTAATGAGCTAGCTCATTAGGTTTACTCTTAAACAATTCCCTCCCAGTACCACATGCATTCAGACAGTAAGAAGTTCAGGTTAAATCTGGAAATGTTGGTGCATGCTTATAAATCCTGGCACTTGAGAGGTTAGGGCAGGGGATCATGAATTTGAGGCCAACTTGGGCTACACGTGGAGTTTTAGGCTAACTTGATTTACATATTGAGACCTTATCTAAATAAATATATAAATGAATCATATAAAAACGAGCTATATATAACCAGGAGTGGAGTTACACGTTTATGATCCTAACACTTAGAAGACTGAGGCAGGGAAGATCATGAGCTGGAGCTGGGCTAAAACTACATAGAAAGTTCAAAGGTCCAGAGGCCAGTCTGTGATACACATCAAGATCCAGTATTTCAAAAAATCATTCTGTAAAAGCCGATGACATACCTGGTAATGAAACCGTTATTGGCACAACTAGTCAACGGAAGAAGTCCACAGTCTTTACAGACCAGGGCTATCCCACTCTTTGACTTTCCTAGGCTATATAGGATGAAGAATTTCCTTGGGCCACACATTAAATACAAGATCACTCACAAAAACTCATAAACAATAAAAAATGCCCGTTTATATCTGCCACTATAGAAAGGCAAAATCCTTACACAGTAGCCCTAATAACATAGTAACCCACTAGGATAGTCTTCCAGGATTGATGAGAATGCTCCACCTTTGTAATCAATAAAAAAGTGAACTCCATTGATTTAAATGTCCATTATAAAAGTAAAGAAAAAGCCATGTGGTGGTGGTGTGTGCCTTTGATCCTAGCACTTGGGGGGCAGAGGTAGGTGGATCTCTGTGAGGTCAGCCTGATCTACAGAGACAAGGTTCAAGGACAGTTAAAACTACACAGAAAGACCCTGTCTCTAACCCTAACCCCTCCCCCCCAACAAAAAGTAAAAGAGAAAAAGGCAACATGAAACGATTGTGCGATTTGATGTTGTATTTGAGATACTCCTACCTCAGTAGCTGATTTCATGGAAACAGCTGCTATTTCACTGAGTTCCTCCGGTGTTCAGATATTGTCCTTCTAATTCTACCTGGACGGCACTTCATTCTTGAAAGCAGTTTCTCACCAGTGTAAGCATGGGCAGGAAGTTATGACCCAATAAAAGCTGTGACTGTGAAGAGAAGCGCATTCATCTCTGGGAAGAAGGGGCCTATAAGAGTCTAATAAAAGAGGCATGTGGTGATTTGAATGAGAAGAGCCTCCATAGGCTCCTATATTTGAATGCTTAGTCACCAGGGAGTGGAATCATTTAAGGATTAGAGGGATTAGGAGATGTGTTCTTTTTCAAGGAATTATATATGGTCTTGTTGAGGACATATGTCACTGGGGTTAGGCGTTGAAGATTCAAAAGCCCCTATCAGGCCCAGTCTCTCTCTCTCTCTCTCTCTCTCTCTCTCTCTCTCTCTCTCTCTCTCTCTCTCTCTCTCCCNTCTGGAAGATTAGCCAATGCTCTTAACTGCTGAGCTATCTCTCCAACCCCCTCCCCTAAAATCAACTTCTTCTTCTTCTCCTTCTCCTCCTCCTCCTCCTCCTCCTCCTCCTCCTCCTCCTCCTCCTCCTCCTCCTCCTCTCTCTCCCTCTCTTTCTCCTCTGCGGATCAGGATGTAAGGTATCAGATGTTGCTCCAGCACTAAGCCTGCCCGCTCGATGCCACACTTCCTGCTATTATGATGGATTAACCCTCTGAACCTGCCCCAGTTAACGCTTTCTTTTACAAGAGTCATCTTGGCCATGTCTCCTTATAGCAATAGAACGGTGACTAATTCAAGACACAGGCAAGGATGTCTTTAGGTGGAATGTCAGACTGCAGCTCAGATTGGGACAGACGGTGTTCCATTTAGAAGCTGCCAGGCAACGTTTTTCTGTAGACTGAAAATGGAGTCGCAAGTATACCAAAATATTGATTGTTTTCCCAAGAATTATGAAATCTGTTTTAATTTAAATGAAGTAATAAGGCTTAAAAGTTACTAAACATGCAATATTGTTTTCATCAGCAAATTTTAGTACAAAGTTCTGTTTTGCTATCATAAATGACTAGATAACATGTAACAAATGCAAATCATAATCTCTCAACATTTGTTTTTTATTTAACCCCCCCCCCCTTTTTTTTTTTTTGGTTTTTCAAGACAAGGTTTCTCTGTAGCTTTGGAACCTGTCCTGGAACTAGCTCTTGTAGACCAGGCTGGCCCCAAACTCACAGAGATCCACCTGCCTCTCCCTCCTGAGTGCTGAGACATACACCATCACTACCCATCTTGACTTACCCATCTTACACGCAAGCGCAAAGAATGTATTGCCATAGTCAGCTCACCAACACTTTTAAGGAATTCTTGGATTTAATGATGATGTAGCCCTTAGGAAAGTCAGTTTTGGTGATAATTTGCCTGATGTTATCCATTTTTATGCCTTTGTGCATACATTATATTCTTGATAATACTTCATTAAATATGAGCTTTGAGCATCAATTTCTTTATCTTTTATTAATTTGAAAAGCCCCCTTCTTTTACCTATCATTGCTAAAGTCTGGTATGTGCCTTTAATAGGATACACAGATAAATGGATCTCTATGAGTTTGTGTCAGCCTAATCTACAAAGTGACTTCTAGGCCAGCCAGGGCTATACAGTGAGTTTCCAAAAAAAAAAAAAAAAAAAAAAAAAAAACACAATAACAAAAAAAACTGAACCAGATATATTTATAATGAAGAAAGGAAATGAATTTTAACATATCCTTTTATGGCTCATATAAATCCCTTGATTTATATGTGTATTTCCTTAGTGACGTTGTATTTCTCATTGATACCTTTAATAAAAATTACTAGTTGAGTTGTTTTTGTGTCATTAGCACTGCCATCTATGGCCATAGCAAAAGATTAAAGATTAAAATAAGAAATAAAACTCTCTACGGTTCTTTCACTAGATTTTCCAGTGTCTTTAATTCACCAGATGAGACAACTAATCTAAAAAGTCCTCCCTCCTTCTCAGTGTGGCTTACGTCTGC